CTACTAACTTCACACCTTTCTACCGAGTCTAGTTGAACCTGAAAGGCACATAACTAAGAAGATGTAAGCTACAAGAGCTTAATGAGTAACATGTGCACCAAGATGTAAGATAGTTACACAATTAAATATATCCACATATCCATAACTCATACAATCTCCAAGGTACCTTTCAGTTAATCCAATAATCATATCAATAGCTATTCAAGCTATTATTTCTACTGATAACTCTCTGTAGTAGACTTACAATCAACAGACTATTATTGTACTTCGATAACCTTCCTCCAACCTTCCTCCAGTGGTATTACATCTATTCAAGCTACAATTACAACATATTTACTTGCAAGTATAATATTAAGGCCACCAAATGTAACGATCCAAAATTTCCATCCGTCAACAATGTTAGTTTTCGTTACTTGAATATTAATTGTTGGTTAATGATTTTAGTCTTTATGATTATAAATTCAATAAATTAAAATAGAAGGGTGTTAATTTAATGCCTAAAAGTGTAAAAAAAAAACCTCAAAGAGGAATCGACATGTTTATTGTAGTAAAAGGCTTGCGTCCGTTTTTTTCCTTGCGTTGACTACACGTCCGTTTTGTCATAATCATATTAAAAATCGAACAAGAAAAAACGATTCCTAGTTTTCCTCTTGTGTGCGTCATCGATCAACATGGAAAGAGAAAGAAAAAGAAAGAGAAGAAGAAACGAGCGTGGGGGAGAGGGTTGCCGATCCTTGAGGGCATATCATCACCACACGAAGAGAGTACAAGTCTTATAGCTAGTGGTACAAGTTGTAATGCAAGAAAAAGAAAAAAAGAGAGAAAGAGAAAAGAAAGAGCTTGGGCCCGACCACTTTACCTATCGATCGATCTTGATGCTACACCATAATGGTGTATCCTAGGCATGCCCAAGTTCCAACTGTACAACCGAGGGGCCTTGTGTTTGGTATGTCGTGGGGGGTTGTGTGGGATTGCTTTTGAACATCAAAAGTTCTTTAGGTAGAATGACTTTTTATAGAAGGATTTTATGCAAAAGATGATACTTAAAATGTGTTTGGATTAATAAAATGACTTTTGGTCTAACTTTTATATGTAAAGCCCCAAAAAGTCACAAAATGTGGTTTTTTGAAACCCTTTCTTTTTCCTCTTTGCAAAAAGTAACTTTTTTATTATCCAAACAACTTTTGTCTTTTGTTAACTTTTAAAAAAAATTAAAAGTTAAAAAGCTATTCTAAAAGCAATGCCAAACACCCTCTAAATCAACATATTTCATGAAAAAAATAAAATAAATCGTAAGTTTTAGAATTACTTTTGAGATTGATTATTACATGTAGATGATATATTTGAATTTGGAAAAGAAAATTTACAATTTTTATTATTGTTAAATTTGCAATTTTTATTTTTAAGTGTATCTTTTTTGAAATCAAATAATTCAAACGGTTTGTTACTATCAAATTGTTAGGTTTTAATTTAGAGTTTATATATTTTTATATATGGTTTTGTAGAGTCAATGTATGTAATTTTTGTTGAATTTAAAAAATCATAGAGATAAGAAACACCATATATAGATTTTCAAAGAAGACTAAATCATGTATTTCATCATTGGGTTGTACATGTATTTAAATAATATTTATGTTTTAGTCATTTGACATGTACTATACGCAATGTCCCGAAGAACAACCTTTTTTACTAACCGATGCTTACACCGGTTTCTTAATTCCTTTCGGATCTTGAATCTCCTAATTTCATATAGAAACCTAAGTCAAGAACCAAGCCTCTAAAACTAAAGAATTTGATGGGAACATCTCTTGATGTGAGTTTGGGTTTCATAAGTTGTGGATATTAGTGGAATTTGTTGATACGAGTATCTACATTGTGTCAAAGGCAGGGAACAAACTTCGTACATGCAATAAGTCAATAACTATCCACTTGAAAGGAAAAAAATTTAGACTCGTATCAAAGAATATTTTAGTGACCATTAAAATGTGGGTTGGAGATGTGTTAGATAACTTTTAAATAAAAACCCTATTTTGAGGTAATAAATTTTGATTTTTTTTTCATTTTCTTTGTTTCAGTTAGACCAGTGGATGTAGGTGACATGACAATGAGGGGTGGGGAGATGCTAATATCAAATAATCAAAATCAAGACACCAAAATTCTAGAGTTCAAGTGAAACCTTTGAAGGATATTGATAGAAGGACCAAGAGGTCGATAATGACCGACCACCGATTGCACATCAGTCACCATTGGCGTATGCAACCACTACAATGCACTTTATAAAGTCTGATTATTATGGTTTGATAAATCCAACTTTACAACCACGTTCTATGAGGCCGAGATCATTATCAAATATCCAAAACTATCCTGTTAAAAATCGGATCCCATTGTACATAGAATATATAGGTAACCCACCAGATCTATTAATGTAAAAAAAACCATGACTACCTTGGAATCGTCTCCTAATTGCCTTGGTGTTGGTCAATGGTCACAAAACTAAGCGATATCAGTGTGAAATTTGGGAAAACTTTAAACATGAAAGTTGTAGCTGTTTGAGTCATTTTTTGGTAACTTGAATCAAGCCGCTATGAGTTATTATTAGCGACTTATGATTGGTAGAGGCTAATAAGGGGTCAAAAGAGGACTATAACCATATAAAACTGGATAATTAATATTAGTAGTATTTTTTAAGATTGGAGTGTCGATGTTAACTTCCATTATTGTGTGTACGTAGGTACCATCGGGTTTCCAATGTGTAAAGAAACCTAACAGTCGAACAAACAAGAACTAAAGCAAGTAGACATCATTTTATGAGCACATCTCAAGTAAAAATGAAGTACTTTTATCCTTAAAAGGTAATTGTGTATTATGCTACTACTATATATTTCTTATGTGATCATCATATGTGACATTCCATAAGAATTAAATATTTTTGTCTACATGGGGTATAAAGACGATACACCGCGTTTACTAACGAAGATTTAAAGATATGCTTAAAGGAGATTTGAAGATTTTATATGACATTTATGCAATAAAAATGTATTGAAGACCTTCTTTTACGATGTAAATATGTTTTAAAGATGCTATATGATGTTTGGGATGCATAGAAACAACCATTATAGGCATGAAACTCCACCGTCTTAGCAGCAAGATTTCTATCATATGTTGGTTTGGGCATGGGCATAAAACAACCGTGATAGGCATGCATATACAATATAAAAAATGGTAAACTTCACCGTCTCAACACCTAGATTTCTATCAAATGTGAGATTAGTAGTATTTTAGACGTGTCAGAATTTAAAAATCATGAACCTATTGTGTGGAGTTGCATACAACTTTTAAACACGTTGACCGTTGAGATTGACTTTTTGGGTCACAGATGTGGCTTGCTATTTACTCTCTCCGTTCCATATATATAGTCTATCTTTCTTTTTTTGAGTTGTCCCAAAATAATAGCTTACTTCTTAAAATAAATATTTTTTTTACCAAAATGTCCATCAATATTACTTAACCAACCAAAACATTTAATAATGAAATTAAATGCAAAAAAGGTAAAACTGTCATTTTATTGGAAAAAGTTAACAAGTTTTATACGTCACATGAATTCCAATTTTACGATGATGTTTTAAAGATGATATCTTATACCAGTACAAGTTTGAAGATTTTATTTGTTTAAATCTTATATACGACTTCCAAACCCACACATAGAACGCTAGGTTCCAAGTTTAATGTTCAGTTTGGATGTCTCAGCCTCTCCGGTGTCAAAACAATACTACATGTTTAAATCTTATATACGACTTCCAACCCACACATTGATTGCTAGGTTTCCAAGTTTAATGTATTAATTTGGATGTGAGTCTTAGGTGTCAGAAACAATAAGAATTATAAAGCAATGACCAAGTAAAAAGTGACTAGAGAATTGGATTTATTTACTCATTGTTGTAAATAGTTTTGACATAGACTTGTACGAGATGTATCAATCTAGATTCTGAGGGAAACACTCATAGAACTATTATTTGATGATGTGAAATCAGGTAAGACGTAAGATACCAAGATCCCACAATAAGGTTCCTGTTAAAATGTTTATACTTTTTCGAAATTATGTTGTTATCCCAAATGCCCTTTAGTGAGGAGTGTTTCAACTTATGTGAAGACATAAAGCAATTGTTAACTTAACTGATTAATCTAACAAAATTGTTAACTTTTAGTTTATGGCCAGATATAGATTACACTTAATGACATTACTTCAATATTTTGATAAAGTGGACGAAAATGAATATGTCTAGACAATTTCATCAAATAGCAACCTAGTTTCATTCCTACTGTTGCACCTTTAAAACATATACTACAAAACCATGTAGACCAAGTGTTGTTAACAAATTTGATAAAACACGGATTAAAACTTGTAAGATTTCAAACGAATATGGAGAGATTTTCAATCAAGTTCTGTTATCAATCAAACCCACAAATGATCAAAGGAATGTTTAATAACAGGGATTCTCACTGAACAAAAAAGACAAAATTCAAACATTTATGTATTCATTTATGATGTTTCACAAACTTTACTTCAGTTTGTAACTATAAACAAATATTCAGTTCGAGCTAAAAGCACAATGCAGCTTTTAGAGTCTCATGAAAAAAGATAGAGAGCACTGATTCATGAACAGAATTTTCCATGAAAAATATGCATTTTGTTAATATTGTGAACTTTCGATTATCATGTTAATCTATCACAGAACCAAGTTGAATCAAGCAATTTTACACTAAAAACAAATCATTTCAGGTTAATAAGCAACTAAAGTCCCAAATCCAACATCGATTTGATCCAGCATATTCCCATCATAAGCACAAAATTCGATTATAATTAAGAACTACAAAAGAAGACGCAAAATATAAATCGAAGGTGCACTAGTATCAATAAAAGTCTGAGCATTAAAATCCATCAGCGGAAAATTGAGAAGAACAAACACAAAAAAGGAAATGTAAAACAACTTATCTTTTGCTCAGAATCGGAGCTTTGAAAAGAACCAACGATTCTTCCCGGTCTTGAACCTCTCCTCCAATCGTGCTTTGGTCTCCTTACAGGCAGTCACCTTCTTGTCATGCGACTGAAGCGCGTCGACGGTGACAACATCCTTGAGATCGACGTCGAGCGTGTACCTAGTCGGCATGATGTGGTTGTAGTTCACTAGCTTGATGAATGCCTTCACCCGCGACTTCTTCGCCGTCTTCTTTGCCGAGTCCTTTCGGATCACCTTCTTCGGGTATTTGGCGATTCCGGCAACGAGGCAGTGGCCATAAGGACGATCACGGGTTCCGTCATCAAATTGCCTCACGATTACAGCTTTCCTTCCGGCGAAACGGCCGTTGAGAACCACCACAGCCTTGTTTGGCTTCAAAAACTTCACCATTTTCGCCGCCGCTGATCTCACAAACTAGTAGATCCTTTCTAGGGTTTTAGGTGTTGCACCTTGGCTCTGTTTTATAACATTTGTTTTTACAGAAGGAACCCCAGTACTTCCTAGAATTGCATAAATGCCATAAGTTTAGAGAAATTTGAATAATTTAAAACTTATGCCCTGATTTTCCAACGCATTGCATAATGAGTCCTTATCATCCAGTTTACAATTTTACATACATATAAGAGTTAAAACCATTATCTTATACCAACATTGTTAATATAAGAATTAGCTTTAAACAAATATATTATAATATACTCTATCAATTATCAATTATGTAAAACCCTATCAAATCCTTATCATAGTCACACCCATCTAGAAGATATGCAATAGTTTCTCGAGTAATAAAATAACCCAAATCATCAATAATGTCGGCCCATAAACAACTAATTTGGGTATGTTTGACATGTCATTAATTAAGTTTTTTTAGGTTGCTATGTTTAACAAACCAAAAAATAACTTATAAGCCAGCTTGTCAACTAGCTTATAGAGCTTTTTTAAAATTCTCCAAAAAATACCATTTATTGATTATATAAAACACTTTTTTATACATGCCTTTATACGTTATTTTACACTTTCCAACTAGTTTATCAATTAGTTTCTACCAAATGTCATTTTTATCAACTACCAACTAGTTTGTCAAATATAAACTAATTTTTACCCAACATCATTTTTATCGGTTACCAGCTAGTTTATCAAACATAACCTAAAACACCTTCATTGTAGTTTGATAATATTGCATTTATCAATCAAGGTCTCTTCTATTATTGAAAAAATGAAGTTGTAGGAATCAAATATGGCAAAATATGCATAGAAGCAATGGTACATAAAATCCACATTTTTGCATAAGCGGTTCAATCATCCAAACATTAATATCTTCAAACCATTTTATGCAACAGTTTTACAACGATAAACTTGCTATATTAAATAGTTAAAGTTTATATCACAGATCCATTAGATGGTTAACATTATCTTGTAAAATTTGCACTCAATATAATAACATATTGTCAAATTAAGCTAACTGAACTCTTCATAATATATAATCATCACAAATTTTACGAGCCTAGTTCACTTTGGGGGCTAATCGGCATTTTCTTTGTTCCATATAACATATTTAGTTGATGAATTTTGACCGAATCGGTTTATTACAAAGAAAAAACATTGTACATTGTTTTCTTTTTACAATGCCGGACTCTTGCCCAGTCCTACCTCAACAAAATGGTCAAGTCAAACCTCTCTCCAAAAGTCAAACCCTCTTTCATTATTATCAGTCATTTGCATATCTCTCGAAAAAATAAAAAAAAAGGCCGAATTCATCACACTATGGAAGAGATGTAAAATAGAGTAAAATTGTACACTGAATTCGCATTCATCAAAAGAATCATATGAGGATCTTAACTTAAATAAGTAGTCTCCTTATATCACTGAAGTTTGACTTTAAAGCTCCCATGAAATCACCTGAAAACAAATTACCCATTCATCACATGTCGTTTGAAGTTAAATTAAAAATAAAAAATGTGTTAAACCAAATACCTGCAACTTCTCCATCAAATACACGATGATCAGCAGATAATGTCACGTTCATTTTTGTAACAACAGCCGGTTTTTCGATTCCTGAAAGTAATAAATAATAACACAAGTTTAATTAATTAATTATCTAATCAGATCACTAGATTAATAAAAATATTTATAACAAAAAATGAGTGAGTTTAGTTTACCATCTTCATCGAAAACCGGTTCAACCACCTGGTTGCCCCTACCAACTGCAAGAATACCAGCTTGTGGTGGATTGATAATGGCACAAAATTGGTCCACTGGGAACATACCCAAATTTGATATACTGTAAACATGAATAAAAACAATATTCATGAGAAATTACTTTTTTGAGACACTATATTCAAATATTGAAAGTAAATGATAAAAAAACGTCACCTGAAAGTGCCACCTTGGAACTCATTTGGTGTAAGCTTCCCTAATCGTGCCTTTTCAGCAAGTTCCTTGACCTTCAAACGAACAAAACATATAAAATCACCTATTTGCTCTTTATCATCATTAAGAACATTATATATAAATGGTTATATTTTAATTCCAATGGAATGAACCATTCCATTCCATTCCATCCTGGATTCAATGTGAGAGAAGTCAAACTAATACACATTTAACCACCAATAATACCTCCAACGAAATAGACGATATGGATTTTTCATCAGCGTTTTTCACAATTGGAGTCATCAGCCCCTATAAATTCAACAAAATAAAATTAACTTTAGCAATAACAGAGGAAAAAAATAAATAGAAAATAACATGTAAAAAAGAAACTCATACCTTCTCAGTAGCAACCGCAATTGATATATCAACAGAATCACATAATACAATTTCCCCTTTTTTGTCATCCCAAAAAGCTGCAATGTATTTTCATAGTCAACTATCAGCACTTAATAATAATTATTATATTTAAATAATGAGCATCAAAGGGTCTTACTTACCATTAGCTTTTGGAACACTTTTCAATGCAATTGCTACAGTTTTTATAACAATATCATTCACCGAGACTTTCACCCCAAATTTATCTGCACAAAAAAAACGTAAATCATGCATCCATTAATTCGATGAAAAAAAGAAAATTTAACAAATAAGAGATTTGCAAACCCTAAACATACCCTTGAGCTCCTTTCTAAATAGCAGAAGAGGATCCAGTATAACATCTGTCAAAAACCATTAACTAGTTTAACCACAAATACAATGTTGTTTTGTATTTACCACAAGAAGCTTATAAAACCTGCGGTTAAATATAAATGAGGCGTGTTCTGTTTTGATTCTAGCAACCTTTTCGCAATCACCTGCAAAACAAGTATACTTTATTACTTGCTATTATACTTATTTATTTATTGATAATAGCATTGTAAAAAAAAAAAGTATTATGAATATGTGTATACCTTACGGATTTGGGTATTAGGAATATCCTCATAAGAATCTGACTCTTGAACTTCTGATGATACTGAAGTATGTGTCTGAGGTTGACTTTTTGGGGGTTTTACAGGTTCAGATGATGAACTTTTTTTTCCACCTGTCCCAGACTTTATTGCGGTTAAAACATCGGATTTTGTGAGGGTCCCACGTATGCCAGATGCGTTTATTGAAGAAGCATCCAGCTTATGTTCTGCAATTAGTATTTTTGCAGATGGACTGATTCTAGAGAAGATGGACTTCTGTGCTTTTGCTTCGTCATCACGCGTGGCATGCTGAGCTGGCTTTGCCTCCTTGGCTGCCGTATTAGTATTACCACTAACAGATGATTTCACCTTTTCCACATCAGCTGGATCCTCAACCTTACAAAACAAAAACAGTAATATCAGCTCCGATTTTATGTTTTATTACTTTTTGTGGTAATTGAAAAGTGGAAAAAAAAATTACTGTTATTGCGATGGGCTGTCCAACTAAAACGTTTTTTGAACCTTCAGGTGCCAGTATCTTTGCTAGGTAACTGTAGTTCAGTATCAAGAATGTAAGCATTAAAAGAATTTGAGCATTTTGGAAGCGTAACAGAAGATTACAATTTTACCCTTCTTCAAGACATTCGAATTCAAGGGTAGCTTTGTCAGTCTCTATCTCACATATGATATCACCAACTTCAATCTTGTCACCTTCTTTCTTAATCCACCTAGCAATGTTCCCTTGGTCCTGTAAATTTATTTAAAACATTAATGCCAAAAGCTTCTAGAAGCGAAATGAGAACGATTTTGACATGAACTAGACTCTGATTTGGTTAACTAACCATGGTTGGTGATAAAGCTGGCATTTCAATGAGGATATGCGGAGGTAGGTTAGATGCGTCAACTTTCCCTGAAGTTGACTCGTTTGCTGTGTCTTCAGTTTTAACATTAGGTTGAGTTGACTCAGTCTCTTTGACCTCTGACCCACCAAGAACACTATCAGGGATATTTTTTATATTTTCTTCTTCCTCAACCTAGTATATATGTACATGTCAGTCGTATGAAAAAGTAATTACATATGTATGTATGTATGTATGTATGTATGTATATGTGTGTGCTTATATATGTATGTATGTACATACATACCGTAATGAAAATAGGTTGTCCAACAGGCACATCTTTTGCACCATCAGGCACCAATATCTTTGCCAAAAACCTGCATGACATCATTTCAAGAAAATAAAAGTACTTAAAGGGTTGTTGTTGCATGAAATATATAAAGACAGCAGACAACAGTCATATATTTTTGTGGTAGATTAAATCAAGGAAAAGAGAAATACCCTTCTTCAAGACTTTCAAATTCAAGGGTGGCTTTATCTGTCTCGATATCACAAATGATATCACCCACTTCTATCTATTTGATCAAACAAATGATTAGATACATATAATAAACCATAATTACCGATAAAAGATCTTTAAATTTCTATATATCAACTTGGCATTTGCTTTGGATAGAATTAAATGCATGAAAATGGATTTCCCTATGATAATAACAACTGACCTTATCTCCTTCTTTCTTCCTCCACTTTGCAATGTTACCTTGAGTCTATATTGAAGCACAATGAATGCAAAAATTATGAACAAGGGAAGTAAATCAAACCTTAAAAACAGGAAAAAGAAATTGAATCAGTTTCTTGTCACATCTTACCATTGTAGGTGACAAAGCTGGCATTCCAATCACTATATGTGCAGGAGGTTCTGCATGTAAAAAAGCCCATAAATTTAGCTATCTTTTACTCATAACTTATTATAAATTTCGTATAGAAAAGCAAATAAGAACTGTAAATTGGCATTAAAAAGATTCATACCTTCAGATGAGTAACATCTGATGCCACTCGGAAACTGTAAATGAACAACCACTGTCAGGGGATGAATATTTGGTCAAAGGAAAAGCATGTTTGAAGTTTGACTACTAACCTTTAGTGTAGAATGGTCATGGACACCATTGAATGCAGACAA